TGTTGCCTTCTGTGGTTATTTTCCTCATGATGCAGTCAATGGCCAGTGCAAACAACAGTGGAGACATAATACAGCCTTGCTTTACCCCAGTTGTCACTGCAAATCATTGGCTGATGTTATCTCTGACCGCACATTCAGCATCATAGAAGTCTTTGAGGATTCTAGTTATTTTTGTTGGTATTCCATAATATACCCTTATTTTCCATAGACTGTCACTACCCTTCTGGAAAGCTATACAATTTATTAAAAGAGTTGTTTGCCACTCTGCACACTGTTCTATTTATAACAGCAACAGTATTGGCTACACAATCTGAATGGTCTAAAATCTGCTTGTGTTCCCCCCTAAGTTGGCAATCTATTTCATATATTGCTGTTCCAAAACGTTTGTGCTATTTAGTTTCCTCACTTAAGTCCCTTCTTTTTCATTTTTGGAGAGCAGCTGATTAAACCTGAACAACTGGATTGTTTGACGAAATATGCTGTAGCTATGAAATGGTTCAGCAGGGACCAGTTTCACTGTTAATTTAAAATGCTAGAATTAATTAGGTAGTGCAAATGAAGAATTTAATAAGCACACTTTATAACCACAAGTTCTGCTTTTATTAAAACTCCCTGCCAAATGATGGCAAATATCTTTGGTCTTTCTGTTTTTCCTTGTCTCGTTTCCTTACATTCTCTGCAACTAAAATACATTTTTCAGCTGAACTTCTCCCCCATAATTAAAATGTATGCCTGAGTTTTATCTCCACTTTCAAATCATTAGCATCTTTTTAAAAAGCTACTGTATATCCTGCCTGTTCAGAAAAGCTACCAAACAAAACTGAAGTTCACAATTTTGGTTTTGAATACCAAATTAAAGGCTGTCTTGGAACCTGTCATTCCTGTTCAATTGAGTTCAGCATACTACCAAATTAGCATTTTTTTCAGTAAAAAAGGCGTATGCTTGTTTAAACATGTGTCTTTCCTAAGCAAGTGGTAACATCATGAATTCGTTTTCTTAAAAATCTTACGACTGATCCAGAAGACCTGTATGAAGACTGAACAGATTATGATTATTATTGTTGTTCACATACAGTAACTTTAATCACTATTAAAATAATGGCGTAACAGTCTTGAATATAAATTCTCAAGGGGATCTTGTATGTTTAACAGACATTGTTTAGCTCTGAACTCCTTGTAAAAATATTTTGGGAGTCTAAATATTATCTTATTAAAGTCTGTGCATTTCCTTAACAAGGTGGGGGATCACTAGATCTTTTGTCCAGTTAAATGGTCAGCCTCCTATTTGAGATTTTTCTAATATGATTTTGCCAGTCTAACAATTTTAGATCACATTTGAAATATGCCCTTTTATTTTTCTGAATGAACTTGTTTAAAAATCCCTTATCCGCAACTTTAATTCAAATTTTGCTTTTATTTTATAATCGACGTTTTATTTTACCAGCAAGGAGAAAGAGATTTATTGTACGGTATATGAAAGAGGTCCATATTCTTCACAGAAACTGTGCCAGTTTTTGTTAAAATGACTCACTTATCAGTCCCTACTTTCTATAGTACACCTTGTATATATTTTTATGTTATTCATTCGCTGACAAAACAAAGAACTATTCACCACAAAAGATGGATTTTCTGAACAAAAATATGCAAAAATCCACAAGCAGATTGAACATAAACTGTTTCAGAGCTTTGGTTAAGTCCACAAGCATGTCAAGAGAATTTACTGTGCACTGTAGTTAATTTTATTCTGCAGTACATCTTCAAAAAATTATGCTGCCTGATGTTAATAATAAAATAAAACAGATAATCATTGAAAAGGCAGACATTCTGACAAGCTCTCACTCCTACAAAGAACACTCACAGAACAAACTTGAAAGATATTTCAGCCTTGATTTTTATTCACTCACATTTCACTACTCAATACATGGGCCAAGGGTTGATCAAACTTGTTAACTGGGTCTGTAGTATGAGTCTGATCTTGTCTTTTTATTTGTTTATGCTCATCTTGATGAAAATGACAACAGTGTGTGTTGGTGAGCCTCTTTGGGGGGGGGGCACACTTCTTATCTAGTACTGTGTACCATGATCAGAGGCCAACACCCGTAGTTTAAACATAGTTTGAGGAGTCTTATTTTTGAATTTATTTAACATTCTAATCCCTGGTACTCCCCAGGCTTCAAGGTTAAGGGGCCTGGAAAAAATGTGACTGAAGTAGGTGGAGGGAAAGAGTGGACTGGTCTTTCAGTCTTCTCGCTGGACACAGGGAGAGAAGACCAGTAGCTAAAACTGCATGTCAGGTCCCCCACCATTCTATTTGCTCCGAGGACTTTCTGATGTAGGGGAACCAGGTTTAGATGTGGTGGCAGTTGTTTCCATTGCATGGTGAATTCAAGATGAAGGGAAAATAAAAACTCAGAAGAAACCATCATGGCTTTCTATCAGCATAATCAAAGTGAACAAGGTAATTCTGAAAATAATTGAGTCTCAAAGAACCAAGTCCATTCCCCAAACTTCAAATCACTGGGACTCTGGAATGGAGAGAAATTATCTGGTGTAAAGATTTGAAAGGTGCCTAAGTTATCTGAGATCCTAAGTTCCATTTTCACACTTAGAAGCCAACTGAATTCCATGAGGCTTTGGCACCTAAGTGCATAAATCAGTCTGGAGAATGGGACGGAGGCAGTAAATCACTTAGGCGCTTTTGAAAATTTTACTCCAATCTAATTTTTGGAAAACTGGTTGTCCACAAATCCTTTCACAAAGAATGATCCAATTTATATTGAAAGAAAATTTCTAGGGGGACAACCACCCAGAAACATATCCAAAGCTAGTACACGCACGCTCTTACAGTATCTACTATTGAGACAGAATCCTTGAGGCAGCATGAAACCAAGAGGAAACAGTACACACAGGAAAGAAAGTAAAGACTAAGACAACATCCAGGGTTCTCATCCCACCAAAGAAATAACAGATGGCATTTTTCTATCCATCTAAACTCAGGATTACATTTAGGGAAAAACATCACTAATTTTGAGATGTGTAGAAAGCTAAAAATATGCTGGTAGCTACTGAAAAATAGCATTTTTCATTATCAAAATCCAGACTGGAAGCACGAGTCTCTAGTGGCACTTGATTTAAAAGTTGCACTTGTTTGTCTACTCACATCTAACACACTTTAAGTTACTTGTAATTTTAGTTCCTTAGATTAGAAAGAAAAAACACAACAGTTTTGTAACTAATTGACAGCTGTGCTAGCAAATATCCAGGGAAATATATTCTAGTAGTGTTAGGTTGCTGTACCTTGCACGCAGCTCTGCTCTTAAGAAAAACACTTGGAATATTCCACAATCTAAATAAAGCCCAAGCAAAGGCAACTCACTGCCCTTTTTTTAATCCTCTTCCTCGCACTCATGAAGCTGTCTCCCAATCAGGATATACTGAGGTAGATACATAACGACCAATGTGCAAGAGAGAGCTCTGATTAACTATATTTTTGAGAATGCGATTTGCTCCAGGGCTACTGCCATTTGTTATGTGCTTTTTTTTTGTTATGTGTGTTATTTGAGCTTTGTTATACAGCAAAAAGGAAATAAAAGGAATCATTTCACATTTAAAAGCACTAAGTGGATCGTACTAACACTGTCAGGGCAAAGGCTATGTGAGTGCTAGAGCAAAACTATTTGTCTATATCCTCATTCTCAAGATAATTCTCTCTTCTCAAAATGAATACTCTGGTTTTACATCCCACTTTCTACCCACAGACCTCTATGTGTATGTTCTACGGGGGGGAAAACCCATCTCTTTTGGGAACCCTTCCTTTTCCAAGACTGTCAAACCCTTTGCTATAGTTAAGAAAATGTGGTAAGAGCATCTGTAGTTTCTTAGGGGCAGATCCTGCGCTGGTTTACTTAGAACATGTATAGGTGTGGAGCTAGCTCATGCCTGGCTGCAGTACGCAACACAGCAGAAATGGAGTTCAGAAACTTGCAAATGGCTGAATATCCCTCACACAGATCCTTGCATAACCAATACCCTGCTATGAGTAGGGCATGAGGGAACATGATGTTCCATATAGTACAGAGTCTGGCAGTGACTGCAATCTCCACATATGTATGCTACATCATGAACTATGATACTGGTGATGCACCAAACAGCAGCAGAAACATCAGCCACTCCCCCTTTAGAGTGGGAGTAATAAGTCCACATAGCCTTCACAAGCAGCCATAAAAGCTGATGGTTCATCCCACTGCTTTTTCTAATATAGGATGTGTTCCAGTGTATGACTATGGCTGCAATTCTGCAGCAAAGATGGAGAGCAGAGCAGGTATTTCCTTACCTGTTCATGCCTCCCCTATGGGTGGACATGCACATTTCTTTTCTCTTTGATACAGATCTAGACTATAATGAGGGGTTTATTTCTGAAACTTCTGCAGATAATCCTATCAACAGATTTTACTCCATGAGAAAAAGGGCTCTGACAGGGGAAGAGTATCGGAGAACAAAGCTATAAACAAGGCCCAATAATCGAAAAACACAGCACAAGATTTGGACTACCCTTTTTAAAATTAGGGAAAAATAAATAAAGATGAAGGAAGACTGGGGAAGTAAATGGCATCAAATGAGCTGTGAACCTGTACAAAAGGCGCCTCCCAATTATGTTTTATAAATACATTATGAATTTTTCAGAAATCCTAGTTATTCTTTTTCTAGCTCTTTATGTGGCTTGGAACACAATTGGCTTCTCCTGCAATTTGTATATATACAGTAGACACCACTGAAGATTGAAGGTTTACCACCTGCAGGAAGTTTACTGGGGTATTGGCAATATTTCCCATTCTGGGAATATGCAGTAAAGGTAATTATTGTGGCGTCCACTGTATGCACTTAGGCACAACTCAACAGATCTATGACTGTTTTAAAGACACCAAAGTTGTGTTGCCCAAAGGATTACGTAAAGTAGAAGAGCGTATCTAAGCCAACATCAAAAATATTTAAGAGCATACCTGTAATTTTGTCTCTCACAAGTTTGCAGGATTCTATTTCACCAATGCTCCCAAAGAGACTCCTGAATTCCTCCTGTGTCATATTCTGGGGTAAATAGTTGACTATGAGGTTCGTTTTGCTGTCATCTGTGGCAGCCCCTGTCTGCATGGGGGAAGGACAGTTTCTACTGTTGCTGGAGGGTCCATTGGTCGTATTGGATGTAGGGCCATTCGACACCTGAGGCTCCATGGTGCTAATTATCTAAATAAAAATAAATAAAAAAAAAACTGCCTGAAGTTTCACATACAATTGCTATTTTTAAAGATACTTACACATCAATGAGTAGGCAGCTTTCATGGCCAATTCAGACACTTTAACAAAAAAAACAACAACAACAAAAAAGACATGGGCTTGATTCCTCTGTTATTGTTGTAAAGTAGGTCATGCTAGTCTTTGGCTGTGAGCATATACTAAGAAGCAGTGGAAAAAACCTCCCTTTTTTGGTTAATGCAAAGCTAATTTCTGTTTTCATCACACAACCATTTTCATAAATGTATATTTAAGCATGAATTTAATTATAATTTAAGGTAATAATCATGATTAAAATTACAGTTCAATTAAAGCAGAAGAGGTAAATATAGAGGTCTATATTGAAAAAGTAAAATATATTGCCTATTTAATAACTGTATCACAAAGTGCAATGACACCAAATTAAGTGGGAGCATTTAATCTGCAAATAGTTGTTGTTTCAATCACCTTCGAGTAATAACCCTGTGATCACACAAGACACACTTTTTATTGGCTCCAATGATTACTTGTATTCTCCGGTAATATTTTTCCCTAGTGGACTAACTCCTCTTTACAGCATCAGGCCCTGAACCTGCAAACTTCATGGATGTGAGTACTCTAGTGTTTGCTGTAACGGCAAAGGGCCTTTTGGATTGTACCACAGCCATTACTTTCAAATGGCTCACAGGGTAGGAATACAGATAAAAATCAAAACACCTCTCCATCTTGAAATTTAAGGCCACAAAAACAGATTCAAATGGTCTTTTTTTAGTTACAAAGTAAGAGTCCAGTCTTGCAAACACTGATGCATCTGAGCTGCCAGCGGGACTAAACACACAACTGAAGTGTATGTATGCATTTGCAGGATCAAGGTCTAATAATGCAAGAGCTTTTCATCTGGAAGCTCCATTAACATCAGTATAATTGTACCAGTGCAATCCCGGGTATTGATGAGGAAAGCCAGGATTTGCACTGGTGGACACTACCTTAATCGGGATAAAATCTACCAGTGTAAACTGTGCCTTTCTCTGTGTACTCAAGGGGTTGCACTGGTGCAGCTAAACAGATGGCTGTAATCGTGGAAAATCTCCAGTGTAGACAAGGTCTCTGTTTCTGAAAGACAGCGTCAGATATTCAGTGATATAAAGTACTATCAAGCAGGAGAGACTCCCACTAACACAGGGCAAGGAAATGTAAAGATAAAGGAAAAATCCAAGAGAGACTTAGAGTAATGAGATACCATAGAGTTTGAACCCTGTGTTGATCTGATCCTATAATTACAATAATTACCCAAGACTTAATTTTGGTTTCTTTCTTTAAAGTCAGTAAAGTACATATTGTGACAAGATAGATTTAATAATTCCCTACAAAACTTTGGAGGGGGAAAAAAAGTATTCTAAACTAGACTGATACCAGGCGAATTAATGTTTTCTACTTGATTTAAATTAAGGAAGCACTAGAAATAGCCAAACCAAAATGATTGTGAATTTATGTGTTTCAGTATTGCTTCTGATATCTCACCTCTGAAATATCCCCTTTGTTTATAATTGGACATAAACAGTTTTGAATGGCTATTTTTAAAGTATTTGGCAAAACAAGTAACAGCAACTTTGTTTAACATTTTTCAACGAATGAAGACCTTTCACTATGGCTAACAAAAAAGCACGGCAAATATATGAAATAGGACTATTTGGAAAGTAAAATCAGAGCACGTAGGTAGGTGATGGCTTCATAACAATGGCAACTTCTTAAAAACAACAACAGATTCCAGTCAGAACCGCCACTGCCAAATCAAGTGACCGGAAACTGCCTAAATCTTTAGCTAACCACACTGAACATTCCCCCATCCCTTGTTCTGGACATTTACAAACAATCAAGTATGTTCCCTACTTCAATCTAGATGATATCTATTTCAGATGCATATTCACCTATACATGCCATTAAAGGATTTAGAGTAAAGAGAATATGTGGTACTCCGTTCCATTTCTGTACCTCTCTAACCTTAAATCCAATACTTATTCCAGTCCCAGTAAGCTTTGCTGGTAGTCTACTGTAGAGGTGGTTATCTCTCGCTCTGGTGAACAAATGTATTCTGGGAGTTACAGCTCAATTGAGCATAATTCTTTCATCTATGTTGTATGAACATAACTGCATCAAATTGATTTAAAAAACACAATCTCGGTTCGTACTTTCTACTGAGGTCCTGAGCTCTGCAGCATCAGGTCCAATGTTAGCATTTTAACTCAGTTTTAAACATCCACAAATATTAGTGAAGTAGTCATCCTCTTCTGATAAAATATGTCTATTTTACATACCCGTTTTAGTGAATGTCTATCATTTCTGCATTTTCACTGGTTAATTTCTACACTGTGCATTCTAATAGGGGTTATAATAGATCTGTGCTGTTACAAAAGTTTATACCAACCACAAAATTCAAAACCCAATATTTTACCCAATGAATAATTGAAAATTAATAAGATAAATTTAGAGACTGGAAATTCTGAGTAGGTATGGTTAACGAAAGCACTTTATGGATATATAAACCACTGCAATAGATTTAAGTAAAAAAATAGGCTGAAATGTCAGATAAATTGTTTTAAGGCTTGATCCTGCACTACTGAAGTTAAAGGGAATCCTACCATTGATCTGAATGAGAACAGGATCATGCTCTCAGAGCAATGCGTTGAGAAGTAAAGGCTGACATTCTTTTATTAGTAACTGAAGCAGGAGGCATGCTAGTTACCCTTGTTAAACATGTACCCCTTGATCTTTGATTTTAAAATCCATAAAGGATGATAAAATTCAATACTAGCTATTCTAGTGGTTACAAGTGATGCAAAGTGTTATAGTCTTTAAAATTTTATCTTCAACACCAAGCAAAATGTCTGGCTCACCTTTAAGATTTTTAAAATTACAATATACGATGTTTTCCTCACTGCTAGTATCTCAGCATTCATTACTGTGGCATCTTAGGGCCAGATTCTCTTCTCACTTACTCTGGTTCAACTCCATTAACCTTCAAAGAAATGTCTCCTCATTTTCACCAATGTAAAGGAAAATCAGGCCCAAGATTTGCTTTCTACTGAATTACTGTGTGAGTTTCTAAAAGTAACTTCGTCTTCTTATTCTCTACATGAGAGAACAAGAAGAAAAAAAAAAACCTGATGGGAACTCAAAATATATTACCAGAAACATTCATAACAAACATCTGAGGCACTGATTTTTCATTAAATAATTTAAGACTTTCCTTCGTGTAGAAGAGATTTCTGAGGATTTATGTATAAAAGCAGTTATGTATCAGAGAAAGCACTCCAAGTTCTTATCAGCATGAAGGGATAATGTTTACTTAGGCTATATTCTCTGACAATCCACTTTTAAAAATTTAAATTATTTATGACAACAAAAATAACAGTCCTAATACTCCTTTTCAGACATACCCCCACTTAGCACTTCTAAACTCAGACGTTCTGTAGGTTAGTTGTGTGTGTCACAAGCTAGCTGTAGTAGAGCTTACTATCTCTTCAATATCAAAATGTTGTTGGAACCTATTGTATATTACTTAATAAATACATTATTTAAAAAAATGCTCAACATCAACCCACTTATTTCCTCTCCCTACACTAACTTATTATTCACCACATCATCAACATTCTAGAGAAGGATCTCCTGTTATTTCCTGGTCACACACTTTGCTTTCTCAGTGTTTGAATTACTATAAAGGTCCTTGCATTGCATTATTATTATTTTTACCAAAGTCATCTCTTATTAGAGCAGAATCACTATGGAGATGTAGCTCATTTCCACAGATGTCTTGCAGAGAGAAGAACCATACGTTTATCTTCTCATATCTAAAGGTCTATTCAAATATTGACAAAATCAATGCAAAAATACAACAGAGAGTCACTTAGTCTCAAAGTCCCCCCTCCCTACACACACTTTCCCTGAAACAATGTTTTACATTGTTATGTTTAAAACTTAAGCCACTGATGTCTAATTCAACATTTCCGTTGTTTCTGTAGAATAATTTATTTAATGCAATTTAGGCAGATATTGTTGGTCTTGCAGTGTAACATTTTAAGAGCAATTCCCCATATGTACATGCAAACAAATACAGGTATTATGAAAAGTTTTTTTTTTTTTAAAGGAATTGGCAGTCTGGGCCATCTCTAACAATATTATTCTCCAAACACAGCTTAACAAATATGTCCCCGTTCTCCCCCCCCCTAAAAAAAACAACTGTCTCTACAAAGGTGCCTTTTAAAAAAGCTGTTGGTTACAGTCCAAGATGAAGTGCCCTTCAAAGTAGATGAATCCTGGTTGGGTTTTTGTTTTGTTTTTTTCTACTGTGAAATGACCCTCTATCCTTGGTCTCTAAATTATTCAACAAGGGCACTTTGTGTTGTAGTCTTCTGGTATAGAAACAATACTAGAGATATAAAATTATAATAATTCTATATGTGCATAATATCCTAGAAAAAAGGAGTTATAGATACTATATACATTTATAATTTAGAAACCAACATTAATTTGATTATCTATGTAAGCACAAGCAAAAGTTAATTTGATTTATACTAATCTTCCATGGGACCAAAACAGAATTTCAAGTTTGATTATTATTTTATGTCTATTAATCTATTTCAAATAAAGGCAAGTCTTGTCCTCAATTCAGGAGGTGTTTCATCAGACCCCCAGTTTCTAAAATTATTTCTTGGTGTACTACTTTTCTCAGTATGGTGATATATCAGCAAACTACAGGGTATTTTAATTTGACAGGTTGCACAAAGAAATACTTTGTTGCTTGGAAAGACTGCATAAGCTTTGCCAGTGTTTTGCAAAGCACAACTAATCACCAAGCGCGGTATAAAAATCCCAAAGAACGTCAACAACAAAAATATCCACTAGAGAAGCTCCTACATTCTAAATAATATTTAAGAAATATTCTTATGAATCTTCATATAAATATTTCTAATGAA